TGTGTGTGTGTGTGTGTGTGTGTGTGTGTGTGTGTGTGTGTGTGTGTGTGTATATATGTATGGGTGCGCATCTGTCAAAGGCAGATGCTTGTTTTTGTATGTCTCTTGGGAATAAGTAAATCCCCATGAACCCTATGAATAGAACTACTTAAGTAGGATTAATTAAGAAAGAATGCTTTTCTTTTTCTATGATTGATAGACCCTTGAAGATGAATATGCCCAATTTAAGCATATAGTCTCATGTTTTTACACTTCACTGTTTTTATTAATGTATAACTTCATGTTTATTAATTGGGTATGCTTTAAATATGCTACTATGTTCTTCCTTAAATCTTCAGTTAAATTTAAATTAAAAAAAAAATTTGAACCAGGCATGGTAGTGCATGCCTTTAATCCCAGCACTCAGTAAGATCTCACTCTGTGAGATCACGGTCATCTTGATCTGCATAGTGAGTTCTAGGCCAGCTGGAGCTGCAGGAGACCAAAAAGACCAAAACAATTTATTATTATTATTTTTTAAAGATGTTTTAAAATAATAATAATAATTATTATCATCATCATAACTATTCTTGGTCCTTTCTTGAGACAAGGTCTCCCTGTAGCCCCAGCCAGCCCAGAATGTGCTATGTAGACCAGACTGGCCATGAACTCAACAGAGATCTGCCTGCCCCTGCTTTCAGAGTTCTGAGACTAAAGATGTGCAGCACCACACCCAACCTTAAAGTTATTTTTAAATGTGTGTGTGTATGTCTATGTGTGGGTATGTATATATGTATACAATTGCCTGCAGAGGCCAGAAAAATGTTGTTGAATACCCCGGAGGTAGAGTTACAGGTGGTTGGTTGTGAACTATTTGACCATTGGTGCTGGGAAATGAATTTGGGTTCTCTGGAAGATCACTACATACTCTTTAAGTGCCGAGTTATCTCTCCAGCTCCATTTACTATTTTTAATTAATGTGTATGTATGTATGTGTGTAGGTATATGTATATGAGTTCCCATCACCCCAGAGGCCAGAGGTGTCAGATGCCCTGGAGCTAGAGTTATAGGTATTTGTGAGCAGTGCAGTGTGGGTGCTAGGACTTGAACTTGGGTCCTTTGCAAGAGTGGTACACTCTTAACCCTGAGCCATCTCTAATTCCTTTTATTATTTTTAATGATGTGTATGTGCATATGTATGTGTATGTGTATATATATGGTTATGTGCATCTACCTTAGTACAGGTACCCTTGGAGGCCAACAGTCCCTTGGGCTGGAGTTACACATAGTTGTGCATCCCCTCATTGTGGGTGCTGGGAACCAAACTCTGGTCCTCTGCAAGAGCAGTATGCACTCTTAACATTCTTAAGAGCAGAGATATCTCTTTAACCCTTTTAGTTGAATGTTTGAGTTAAATAGATTTCATTGTTTCTGTTCAATTTTTTCCCCCTTCAATCGTTGGGACTATTTTATTTTATTTTATTTTATTATTTTTTATTTTATTTTGGTCTTTTTGAGACAGGTCTCCCTGTAGCTCCAGCTGACCTGAAATTCACTATATAGACCAGGCTGTCCTTGAACTCACAGAGATTGACCTTCCTCTGCCTCTCAGCACTGGGATTAAAAGGTGTGCGCCACCACAGTAGGCTTGTTGGACTATTTTAAAAGGCCAGAATTGAATCTCTAGTTTGAGTATAGTGAGTGAATTTTTAATTTAGAATCAGCATGCAAAGTTCTCATTTTTCTTCCCACTAGTACTATACTTAGCTGCACTTTATGAAAATTAGATGTAGATCAATTAGAGAGGCTTAACCAGAGTATTTTTTAAAATATTTATTTAATAACCACATAATTAGTAGAAGCATTTCATTACAACAGCATTGACATAGTCAATAAGTTTCTAGAGCAAAGATGCACATCTCTTTTAAAATTGGCTGTAATTTTTAGGTTTACAGTGTTGAATTAATACAGTTATACATTCTTGTACTCAGTATAAACCCTGTAAGACATAAGATCACCCATGTCGTGCAGTGACCCAGAGGTCAGAAGAGGACTTCGGATTCCCCTGGAACTGGAGTTAAGGATGGTTGGTACCCGATATGTGGGTGCTGGGAATCGAACCTGGGTCCTCTGCAAGAGCAGTCAGTGTTCTTAACCGCTGAGCCACCTCTCCAGTCCTGAGATTTTAATCTTTAAAAAAGATCTCCATTTTAAAATACACTGTTTCATACAGAAAAACTCATTTTTAATGCAACTAACACTTAGATGTCATGCACATGTGTCTCTAATTTCTATGTATCTGATTATTACTAGTCATAGTTACTTTCTGAGATCCTTGGCACCTGTACATGGATATAAATTCATCAGGTAGATTTCAATGGTAATGTTTTTCATAGCTATTAATTAACATTAAGCAAATTTTTATGCTTCTTCCTCAAATATAACTTATTTTAAAAATTTTATTATTTTTTTGTGTGTATATTTCATACAGAACATGCCAAACAATCTTACTCATTTTTATACCTGCATCCCAAATGGCACCATCCCACAGCCACCCCACCCGAACTGGAGCCCATATACTCTGTCATCCCTGTTACTGTCCACTGTGTCCACTGTGTTGTCAGTGCCCCCAGCCGTTCCCCAGTGCAAATCCATCTGCTGAGTGTAGTCATCCTATCGGTAGTCCCTTGTTTTAGGAAGATCAGCTTTTCCTCATCTAGCAGCAATCAGTCGCCAACATCCCTTTAAATAAGATTGGGGTCTGCTCCTCTTTAGTATAGTGGTGAGTAGCCCCGCCTGTCACGCAGGAGACCTGGGTTTGATTCCCCGATGGGGAGTCAACAGACTAAGTCTGTGAACCAGAGTATTTTAGTCCTTGGTTTATCTCTCACAGTTCGTTAATCACTTTGTGGCTAGCTACGAACTAGATATATTAGCTGTCTATCGTAAAGCTGTTTTGTAATGTGAAATGATTAGTTTTGGTTTGGTTTGTTCTATGATAAAAGATGGATAAACCAAAGTGCAGAGATTATATACCTCTGTAAGGTAATATAACTAGATCAGATCAGATCTCTAAACATTTAGCGACGTTCTGATAATCTGGTAAACAATATTTTGCAATAGAATTTTGAGGTCTGAGCTATTTTAAAAATATAATGATAAAAATATACCTTAAAAGTTAAATATATTGTTAAAGATTGGATCAGAAACAATTAACTTTTTCAGACCCTACACTATTAATTATGCTACTTAAGATCATTTATACTCTTTAGTAATACCAGAGCTTAATAGTCAAATGCTTGTTAAATGTCAAAACATTTTGTAGCTAGGTGGTCTTACGGGTATTATTCATGGAACTATGTCAATATTAAGTAATAAAATTAAGTCAGTATTATTAACCTTTTCATTTGAGGAAATTGAAGGTACTAAATTATTAGTAAGTTACTGTAGCAAAGACATGTAGGAAGTAACAACAAAAAGCCTCCGTTTGTGTTTTACTCCTTGTGGATGTTTTAAAGATTTGATGAATTTTGCTATTTATTTTTCTGTATCTTTTGATCTTACACCATAGTGCTTAGATTCTCCCTCTATAGATAGTAGCCGTTCTTCAAAAAATGCTATTTTTATAACTTAACACCTTGTAGTTATAAATAAGGTAGGCTTGATCTTGGATGCTTTGAAGGTTTATAATCTCAGGTATAAGACATACTCATCTGTAGTAATTATATTTATAAATAATTGGAATTGAAATGAGAGTTCTGATGGAGAAAGGCTCAGATAAATTGATGTTGCTATGAAGAGGCATATGTAGAATTCAAACTTATCTCTTGGTTGGGATAAAGATTTTCTGCTATAGCACTAAATGACCATGGTTCCATGTTGGCCCAGAGCCTGAAGTAATGTCAACTGAATTAAGAAAAGCATGATAGGTCATAGGTAGTCCTATGATAGAGTTTTCACTTCTAATGAATTGGGAAAATGTATTTTAAAACTTTATTTCACTTCCAGATACAGAAAAAACCTGAAAAAAAAAACAGCAAAAAGTTTATAAGAATGATGGGAAACATTTTCTTGCCCCATTCCAGTCCTCAGTCAGACTCTCTAAGGAAGGGTCATCTTCCCTAGCTCATTGTGACGACTAGTCAGCTGTCAGAACCACTGCCTTAGGATAGCCCAAGAATTGATTAGCTACTGAAGCAGAAAAAGGACATCAGTTTTAGGTGTCTTAAATTGCCAAATCATAGTAGGATTTGCTTAGAACTTAGTTTATTACTTAGTTCTAAACATTCTGTGGTAGAAATTGGCAGTGTCTTTATTTTGTTTTCAGAGTAACTATACTTTGGGGTTATCAACAGTTACCTAATTTAAAACTCAGTGCCAAAGTTAACTTTTATATTGTTTTTCCTTTTTTGTTCCCTCCAGGAACCAAACAACTTAAACATATTTTATTAAAAGATGTGGACACTATTTTTGAATGTAAATTATGCCGTAGTCTCTTTAGAGGATTACCAAATTTAATTACCCATAAGAAATTTTACTGCCCACCAAGTCTTCAGATGGATGACAGTAAGTTTTATTTATATATTGTTATTCATTTCACAGTTAAATATTCTTGTACTGCAGCTATGTGTTTGTATTAAAATGGTATTGATAACCTACTTAAACATGATTTTATAATGGAGAATAAAATAAAATTCTTGACTCAATGCTATAGTCAGTTTCTTAGGTAGGTATTTTTACTATTGTTTTTGAGACAGGATCTCACTGTGTGGCCCTGGCTGGCCTGGAACTCACTATGTGGATTAGGCTGGCCTTGAATTTACAGATATCTACCTGCCTCTGCCTCTCGAGTGCTGGGGTTAGAGGTGCATGCCACCATGCCCAGCCTGGATATGTACCTTTATAAAATAGTTTTTTCTAGATAATCTATGAGGTCAAATCTATGAGTATAATTATTTATATTAAAATATTGGGTATTATTTTTGAATATTTGTATGGACCATATACTTTAATTGATATTTTTAAGTTATAATATTAATGCTATCTTGAAGGGAGCAATTTCAAGGTATTTTTCTTTTACTTTAACAATTTGTTGCTAAATGTGATTGATTGATTACTTAGATTGTTAACTAAGATTGCTTCCAGGAAACATTAAAGAATGAGTAGATTAGTTGATTTCTTGGGTAGAGAGTCTTAAAGTATTCATTAATCTTTCTAGTATCTTCTGGATCTTCATTTGAAGATCAGCTTTGTTCTCAGTGAAATTTCTTTAGATGTCACTTTATAAGAATTAGATTGTGTACATACAATACACTCTTACGCACAAAATTAAAAAAAAAGAATTAGATTGTGTTACAGACTAACTTGAAATTATTAATTATTGTGATGAAGGTAAGTAGCACACTAATGAAGTTTAAAAAATTTTTTTAAATATTTTATTTATTTTTATTTTATGTATATGAGTGTATTGCCTACATGGAGGTAAGTGCACCCATGTTGTACAATGCCCGTGGAGGACAGAAGAGGCTGTCGGATCCCTGGGGACTGCAGTTATGGACAGTTGTTACCTGCCATGTGGGTCCTGGGATTCAAACCCAGGTCTTCTGCAAGAACAGTGTTCTTTACTGCTGAGCCATCTCTTCAGCCCTCTAATAAAGTTTTTATAGAACCAGATGTTTTTTGAATTAAGTATATTTTTGTATGAATAAATGAGCAATATGTATAGTGTTACAGTTTTCTTGTTTTAAAGATTACTGTAAATTCTTTAAAACGTATTAATAGTAGGTCATTATTTTTTGTTCAGGGATTTAAATTTTGTGGACTTTCAAAGTGTAGCACTTGTTTTGTCAGCCTGATACCAATAGCTGCATTGTGGATCTTAGACATTTTCCACCTTCACTTTTTTGGTACAGAATTATAATGCAAATACCAAATACCAAAGTATTGCTTTAATTATTATCAAGCTATCTATCTTAGTGTGTTATACAGTGCAGGTGAAACAAATATTCTGTAATTGTCTAGACATTTTTACATTTTTACATTGTCTAAGGCTATGGTTGTGTTTTATGAAAAATCATTTATATGGTAGCATTCTTCATGGTATTTTATCCGTCCCGGGTTATAAGAACTATGAGTTTGTTTTGCCAATCTAAAATTTTGAGACTAAAAAGTAAGTTGAAACATTTTAATTTAGGACAGTCCATGTGCTTATATTTTATCTTACTGAACTTTTCATTATTGAGCTATCAAAAGGTAGTTTATAGAAATTAGATTCAGAATCTAACATTTTAATTAAAATGGTATTTTATTTCTTGGTATGTTTCATTATATTTAGGTTGTAGAGGTTACTTACATAGTAAAACTGATAAGTGAATTTGCCAGATTATTGTGTAGTCTTCTTGAAAGTTCTATAAATACTTCAAAAAATATTACCATACTACTTTATTATTAAAAAAAAATAAAAAGGGGCTGAGGAGATTGCTTAGTGGTTAAAGCACTTGCCATGAAAGCATGAGGCTCACAGTTCAGATTCCCAGAAACCACACACATACATGGTACATGGTAGCCCACCTGTAAATCCAGCCTCAGAAGACTGAGATGGGATCCCCAGAGCAAGCTGGGTTAGCAAGATTATTGGTGGACTCTGGGTTTAATTGAGAGACCACCCTGTAATGAATAAGGTGGAAGAGCGATGGAGAACACTTATAGCATCAATCTTGGGCCTCCACATGCATGTTCCCACACACATGCACCCACACATGCATACATGCAGTGCATACACACATGAAAAATGGGAAAAAGGAAAGAGAAGTATATTAAAAGAACTACAGTGATTTGGTGATTTATTTGTAACTAGATTTTAGAATTGTATTTGGAAACATAACTAATGTTAGTTAACTTTGTTGCAGTAGACTGATAGCCTAGAGAGGAAGTTGCTATTGTACAAATAAATACAACTAGCTGTATTTTCAGAATAAATATATAATTTTTAGCCATTTTTTTCAGTAAATTTTTCTTCATGTTGAGAAAATTATGTAATAGGACTGGGTCTTGTACCTGAATTCAATCACGTTGGCTTGCAAACATGTCTTATTTCTGTAAGATATTCAAATGTCCTGATACAATTAGGCTACCTTGTTTATTAAGACTTCCATTAACAAGAATACTGTCATATTTTATTAAAGCATTTATAGTAACATTTTTCATATTTTATCCATTTTGGGTCATAAGTACTTGAGTTGGCTTTGGTACTCTAAAATTTTTTTTAGACTAAAGAAATAGTACTTTTATCATTTAAGACAATCAGTGTACTTATGTATCTTATAATAAGGGCACTTAGAAGCAGAAATAGCTTTTTAGATTATGCCTTCCTAGTATTTGTAAACCATGATGATAAATTAAAACAAAGTTTTAGTTTGGCTAATACTAGGTTTTATGCTCATAAAATATTGAA